CTGTACGAGCATTATTCGATAAAGAATTTCATCCTTCTTGCTTAGATGCCTCTGTTAAAAGGGAATATTCAAAATTGAAAGACTTGAAATTAAAGCGTGTCATTTCTGCAGCTCAATGGAAATTACTGTTTCCCAGTAATGGTACGTAAAAGATACTTTATTGTGGTTTTATTTTGATTTTTCATATTTCTGATATTAATAAAAGAATATATGTATGTCTTGTAATATTTTGCTGAGACATCTATCTGACATCTAAAAAACAAAGAATCCAGCTGCCATAATACTCAAACTTGCAACGTGACTTTTTCTATATTGGTAATGTATTTTAATCGAACGAAGAACAGTTTTAACGGACAGAGAATCGATTGGATATTGGTAAAGTTATCATTTAGAACTAAAATGCAAAGGCGTTGTTCCGTCCATGTGTCTAAATTTTACATGCAGTCATCTTCTGATGGAATACTTACCATGGAAGAATGCTATCCGATGCCAGAAATGTGTAAAATAAATATGCTTTCACTATTGTATGCAATCTTTTTGTTTTTATTTTGAGTTTATATTTTCAAAACAGATGAAATATATCATGAAAACTTTTAATTTAGTTTTTTTTCCTGATTTGATAAGATAAATTGAAGCCAACGGACTTTCAATGATTTCTTTTATTTAGTCACAGTTTTGAAAGCCTGAGGACAATGTAGAGCTTGACATAGTGTGCGATCATTTTTCTATTGTTGCAAACGGTTTTTGGTCCTGAAGATTTATTTTGGTTATTTTTTTATGACGTTTACCTCAAATCTCCTTGTATTCATATCTAGTTAAAAAAACATGAGTCTTTCGTGTTTAAAACATTCTGATTGATCTCACTTCATCCTGTTATGTGTCATCATTTAAAATCAATTTATAAATGGTTTTTAATTCATCAAGCATCTGAAATTCATCAACTGAAGTACTAAGATATGTTTAAACCTGTTCATATTGATTTGTAAATATGAAAACTTGTAGAAACACATTGCATTTACAGGTTCACCAATTTCTAAGACGTTTGATGTTACTTTAATGGCAGCATTACTCAGGAACCTAACAAACTTATCTCAACATACCGGTGGATACGATCACTTACCACCGAGAACTGATACGACACCAACAGCTGACTTAGCAAGAATCAAATATTACAGAAACCAGCTAGCTCATTTTGAAGATGGAAAGATCAATTATGTGTCCTTTACTACTGCTTGTGATGATATTAGCGGGATGAGAACATAATGTATTAGCTTAGGTGAAGATTACATTAACACATAGAACTGGTTCGAACATTATAAACGACGTAAATTTTTTTTTTTTACTGCAAAGTATATTGAAAGTATGCAGCGTATTGTGAGAGTAGAACAAGTGACTTCAACATTGATTATTGTCACTTATTTGCACTAGCTGTAGATAGCGGTTGAATTAGCAGATATTAATGGAAAATCTTTCCTCTCTTAATACACAGTATTGGTAATGGTGTTTTGTATCCCATCTTCTAATACTTGGTTGTGATTTAGTAATGTTTTTTTTAAGCTTACCAATTTGGTCAAATTACTTGACAGTCACACATCCTTTTAAGGACAGTATACTAGGTGGCCAGTATTTTAATTTGTGATGTTCAAATAGAGACAACATTACGTTGAAACGTGGTACACACACTTACCTAAAGTTGCCCTCATTATATTAAGTATAACCGGCGTTTTAGTCCCTGCCTATATTTTCATGTTATTGGTATAGACCTTAACTCCTTTAACCATTTCTGGTTACACTTGTATAGTGACACGTGGTATTTTGTTGTACGAAATTCACTTAAAATGAAAAGAATGCGAAAGATGTTATTCATCAATGTTTTTAACTATTTAATGATATATTACCAAATATTTCAGCTACATTGATTTTTATTAATTTCGTCCTATTCCGACAGGTATGATGCCTCCAAAATTAAAATTAAAAGCTTTATACCTTTTTTATTTATATTCAATGAAATACTGGTAAAAGACTGATCATGATTTTACAAGTGTTAACAAATACAACAGGACTTGTTTTGTGTGTCACTTTGAAAATCGTTATGAATAAAATAAACATGTACATAACTACAAACAGTTTTCCCGAATAACATTGATAGAGCATCTTTTTATGGGTTTTGAATATTTTAAGATATATGCTTATCAGCCTTTTTGTATAATTTATATAAAAAGACACCAGAATAGTATGTTGAAATAAAGCGGACATATTATTTAAGGTGTAATTTTCTGCAATTAATTTGGGGGATTTCTTCGAACAGAAAAAAAATGAAAATAAATAGTTCATATTTACACGGATTTACTGAGCATAATTTCTTTTCTGGATACTTTGCTTATTCGGTTTTCAGATGTTTTCCTTGCAATATACTGGGGTGTGCAGTACGTGTGAGTTCGGTTTTATTGTCAGCATGTAAACATTCATTATGTGTGCACCCTTTATACTAACGTGTGGTCTACTGTTGTTCATGGTTCAAACATTGTTCTGGTAACAATGCCATTTTTATAACATTGATTGTATATATCAATAAGAAAAAAAATTCATGACATTATTTACAAATTTAGTTGTTTCATTTATGTTTTGGAATTAAGTCCTGTCTCTATATGGTAGAAAATCGAACAAGCCTATCTGTGCCTAGCAAACTAGATTTCACATGATTGACAGCGATAGTTATAAACAAGATTTATACGATCACTGTCTCATTTGTTTCTTCTTATGTCATTGTGACTAGACATATAACGAATTTTCGATATATAAAAACAAGGAGATGTAGGATAATTGGCAATGAGACAACTATCCACTAAAGATAAAATGAAGTTGATGTAAGCAATTAAAGGCAACCTTAAGGCCTTCAACATGAGAAAAATTTCATATCAGCCAGTAATAAATGGCACCGACCTGAAAAATGGGTAACAATTTCATTCAGAAAACTTACGGCATTGTTTATAACAAAACAATTTCCGAAAAACAAAAATATTTCACACATTCACGGTCTTGTCTGACGTGACTTGTAATATTACAGTACAGATATTGATACTCAATTCGCCAGTTCTCGATGAAATGATACTTGTTTTGTCCTTCATTTCTATGAAAGATGACCTGTGATGGGACACTAGGGACACGTCGTTCGAATATTATCGGCATATAACCGTACATCCAAATGACCTAATTACGGAGCACTGACTCGTTGTTTAGAGTATCAATACCGGTACTAGTATATCAAGACCCATTTTTATCTTTGATATATCCTCCTTGCTTATTGAGCCTAGAAATATATTCTAAAAAACCATACAGTCTTTTTCGATGATTTGAATTGATAATACATAGTAAAATTTTACTACTTTAACTGTGTCTGGAATAGTATCCTAATGTTAAATATTGAGTCCCTTGGTGGTAAATGTATAGATAACTCTGTTTACTCGAGACATTTCGGTCTGTACAGTTCAGGGCGTCAAAAAAATGACAGTGTTTAAGCACACATAATGTTTTATTTGCAACACAGTCCATGTAATAAGCTGATATATCCATCATTAAAAAAAACTTATGCATATCTTGTTTAATTTACAGCAGAAAGTTTTAATTTAATGAAATAAACGCATTTCAGTTGAACACAAAAACACTCACAAGTCCATTATTATCCTGTATGTATTGGGTTCTTATTGTCTATCAAAAACTTACAGTGTGTTATTTTTTCAATTTCCTAGGCTGTAAAACGACTTGGTGGTCCAAATATGGAGGAGGAATGTAAAGAGCTAAGAACAAAGCAACTAGACAATTCAACGGTACCTTGGAACATAAGATGTAAGGACATACACCTATATTGCGGCAAAATTGTTTTACAGGACGCAATGCTCACTTATTTCGACTTGTATCGTATATCTTTTTCTCCAGTTATCCTAGGACCTTTTTGAACCGCTCTTCTCAGAAATGTGTGTGCCACTGATCTCTATTACAACATGCAATTTTACTGCAATTTACCATTTAAGTTAGACAGGAAAGATGATTTCCTGATTAACTGAAGTTTAAATCGGATTAGGATCTCTAAATAGAAACATCATCTGTTCGATGAAACACAAATGAAGTTTGCAGTCCTTTATTTACTTCAATTATATTGATGTGTGGCAAGTTTGTAAGTAAAGGATTCAAGTTTTTTTTGATTCAGAAAACAGATAGTTTCCATTTGATATTTATCGCCTGTTTTAATCCTCTCCTATATATAGATATAAGAAATTGTGGTATGAGTGCCAATGAGACAACTTTCCATCCAAGTCACAATTTGTAAAAAGTAAACCATTTTTCCTACGTGTATGATATAACGGGGAGGCAGATCGACCCTTTTTGCGATGTTTATTTGTTGTGGTTATTGCTTACATAATAACATGAAACGAACCAATTGTACTGCACCAGACGCGTCTGGTCAATGATGCTAAATAGTAATCATTTCTATAAAATAAATTTAATTCTAATTCAATTGACCATTTATTCATTTGTGACTTTTTTATTTTTTAGATAAACACAATAAGATATTGGATCAGTGGCAGACGAAAGGTATTAATTTTATAGAGACCAGAGCTGCACAATATGTGCTAGAAAGTGTTCATGAAAGTAGTTGCGTAACTATCACAGCTATTTCTGGTGTTGGAAAGACAGTAACTCTCTGACATGTGGTTTTGAAAATGAAGGATGAAGGGTATGATGCACTACTGGTAACCAATCCACATGACATTGTTAAATTTTACAACCCCGATCAGAAGACATTATTTGTTATTGATGACTTTTGTGGAACATATTCTATAAACCAATCTGACCTGAACAGCTGGGAACCGGTAATTAAACTTGTTGAAGAGATCATTAAAAATAAACTAACAAAAATCATTGTAGCCTGTCGATTACAAGTGTTCAAAGATGAAAAATTTGATTTTTTTAAATTGTTCAGAACCAACGTTTGTAATTTGTTATCAGATGAGTTGTGCCTGTCACAAACAGAAAAACTATTAATAGCAGAATTATATCTTGAATCAGAAGCATCGGAAATAATCAAATATTGTGATAGATATGATTGTTTTCCACTTCTGTGCAAATTGAATCATGATAATCCTGAACTTGATAATAGAGATTTCTTCAAAAATCCATTTTCAGTTTATGAAGCAGAGATAGAACAACTGAGGAAAAACGGACTTTTCAGTAAATACTGTGCCTTGGCATTATGTGTAATGTCTAACAATTGTTTGGTAGAGGGTGTGTTAACAGATGAGATAGGTACAGCTTTGAAAAATGTTATAGAGAACATATGTGAGGCATGTAAACTAGATAAAGGAACATCAAGGTTAATATTATTGGATGAACTTAATTCGCTTGAACGCACATTCATCAAGAAAGAACATGGTGTATACAAAACAATCCATGATAAACTATTTGATTTTTTGTCCTATTATTTTGGGGAAAAAATGATTAAGTGTGTTATCAAAAATGCAAAAAGTCATTTTATTATGGAAAGATTTTTATTTGAAAAAAGAGACGACATGGACAGCTTCATTACTATTGTTCCACCTAAATACCATCAAATGTACATTGAAAGAATGATTGCTGACTGGATTGATTGCAGACTTTTTCCTGTGTTCAATAATAAAAATATGGTCATACCAAAGTTTCGACAACTGTTTTTTCGTTATGTGAATGCACTTCATATAGCATTCCAGAGTCAATTAGCACAAACCTATGATATCGATTTCAAAGGTACAGTTCTGTTATATTGTAGCTTTAACGGTGATATTCGTTTCACTAAATGGTGTCTATATCATGATGTTGACGTGAACCTCTGTACATACAATGGTGTGAGTCCTCTACATGCATCATCCCAAGAGGGACATATTGAAATAGCTAAGATTTTATTGAACAACAAGGCAGATACTAATAAGTGCTCAGAAGGTGTAATATGTCCACTTTTTCTTGCTTGTCAGAACGGATATATAGATATTGTAAATATATTACTTGAAAACAAAGCAGATGTTAATAAGGTTATAAAGACAGGAGAATCTCCACTGATTGGGGCTTGTGAGAAGGGATATACAGATATAGTGGAGCTATTATTGAACAACAATGCAGACATTAATAAGTGTGCAGACGGTGGAATACATCCACTGTATGTTGCTTGTCAAAACGGACATACTAATATAGTAAATATGTTACTTGACCACAAGGCAGACATTAATAATTTAATAGCTGTAGGATTATCTCCGCTGTGTATTGCTTGTCAAACAGGACATATAGATATAGTAAACATTTTAGTGGAAAACAATACACACATTAATAAGCATGGAGATGAAGGAGTAACTCCACTATTCATTGCTTGTCAAAATGGATTGATAGATATAGTCAGGATTTTACTAGACAACAATGCAGACATTAATGAATGCACAGTTACGGAAACATCTCCCCTGCTGATTGCTTGTGAGTTTAATCATGAGGATATTGGGAAGTTGTTACTGGACAACAAGGCGGATATCAATAAGTGTCAAGTAACAGGTGAATCTCCACTGATTGCGTCTTGTAAAGGAGGATATAAAACTATAGTAAGTATGTTACTTGAGAACAAGGCAGACATAAATAAATGTACAGATGATGGTACATCTGCCTTATTTATTGCTTGTTTGAATAATCATGAGTTTGTAGTAAGGATGTTACTAGAAAACAAAGCAAACGTTAATATATGTAGACATGACGGAGTATCTCCACTGACTATATCTTGTCAAGAAGGGTATAGAAACATAGTTAAATTGTTACTCGATAGCAAGGCAGACATAAATAAGTATACAGATAAAGATATATCTCCACTGTTATTTGCTAGTCAGAATAACCATGTTGATATAGCAAAGTTGTTACTGGACAAAAACGCAGATATAAATAAGTGTGCAAATAATGGAACATCTCCACTGATTATTGCTAGCCAGAACAATCATTTAGATATAGTAAAGTTGTTACTGGACAACAAGGCAGATATAAATAAGCGTACAGATACAGGAGCATCTTCATTATGTATTGCTTGTCAAAATGGTCACATAGATATAATACAGCTGATATTGGACAGCAAAGCAGATGTACATAAGTGTAAAGATAATTGGACATCCCATTGTTTCTTGCTTGTATGAAAAACCATTCAGATATAGTAAAAATGTAAATTGATAACGAAGCAGACATAAATAAGTGTGCAAATGATGGAACATCTCCCTTGTTTGCTGCTTGTCAGAATGGCAATGTTGATACAGTAGATATTCTATTGAACCACAAGGCAGACATTAATAAGTGTACAGATAATGAAACATCTCCCCTGTGTAGTGCTTGTCACAACGGTCATGTTGATACAGTAGATATTTTACTTAACCACAAGGCAGACATTAACAAGTGTACAGATAATGGAACATCTCCCCTGTTTATTGCTTGTCAGAATAATCATGTTAATATAATCAAGATGTTTCTGGACAACAAGGCAGACATAAATAAGTGTGCAGAAGATGAAACATCTCCCTTGATTATTGCTTGTCAAAACAATCACAAAGAAGCAGTTAAGCTGTTACTTGATAACAAGGCAAATTTAATAAGTGTAGATATTTTGGAACATCTCCACTGATTATTTCTTGTCAAGAAGGATACAAAAATATAGTAAAAATGTTACTGGACAACAAAGCGGACGTTAATAAGTGTATAGATAATGGGGCATCTCCATTATTTCTTGCTTGCCAATATAATTATATACATATAGTAAAGATGTTGCGTGAAAACGGAGCAGACATAAATAAGTGTACACATAATGGATTATCTCCACTTTTTATCGCTTGCCAGAAAAATCATATACATATAGTAAAAATGTTACTGGGCAAGAAAGTAGACATAAATAAGGGTTCAGTTAATGAAATTACTCCCCTGTTTATTGCTTGCCATAATAATCAAGCTGATATAGTAAAGCTGATACTTGACAACAAGGCAGACATTAATAAGTGCACAGATGAGGGAACATCTCCACTGTTTATTGCTTGTAAGAATAACAATGTACATAAAGTAAAGCTGTTACTTGACAACAAGGCAGATATAAATAAGTGCACAAATGAGGGAACATCTCCACTGTTTATTGCTTGCCAGAATAATAATGTACATATAGTAAAAATGTTACTGGACAAGAAAGCAGTCATAGATAAGGGAACAGATAATCAAACAACTCCGTTGTTTATTGCTTGCCATAATAATCAAGTTGATATAGTAAAGCTGTTACTGGACAACAAGGCAGACATTAATAAGTGTTCAGATGATGAAATATCTCCTCTGTTTATTGCTTGTAAGAATAATCATATAGATGTAGTAAACTTGTTACTGGAAAAAAAGGCAGAAATCAATTTATGTAATTGGAGTTGTGTATCTCCTTTATCTGAAGCTTGATATGAAGGGCATATAGATATTGTAAAAGTATTATTGGAGAAAGGCGCAGATTACACAACGAAAGCTATAAAGAATAAAAATGATGCGGAAGTATTGATGTTATCACCCGAACAAATAGCTAGCGAATATGGTCACCCAGATATAGCAGCTTTAATATTTGAACATTCTAAACAAAAGCAGAAAGAAGCAAGACTTTGGTATTACTGGATCTTATTTTCTGTTAGAATCGCCAAAATAATCATGGAACACACTATAAGTAATGTATGAAAGTGTTCTCCTTCTTGATACTTTATAACAGATCAAAGAGCAGCCGGAATCGCATTTATATTAGAAAAGACAGTGCGTATTACTTTAAAGTATTACTCTCTTATCAAATGCAATGAAATGCAAGTTTGAAAATACGAAGACAAAAACCGTTGTATCAACTTTTAACAGCAGATTCATCTTGATACAGCAGAAATATATTTCAATATCATCAAATTGTTTTTAAACAGTAGTAAAGTGTTTAATCATCTTGCAAGATCTTAAACTACACTGTGTCTAAACTACCCCGACAAAAATGTTTGGACTCAATAAAATATAATGTCCGGTACGGTGACGGACAATCAACAGACAGAGAAAAGTTAGAATTGCTGTTATTGATTTGTTGTTTTAATGATATTGAAGAATATAGATATAAGAAGATGTGGTATGAGTGCCAATGAGACAACTCTCCATCCAAGTCACAATTTGTAAAAGTAAACCATTATAGGCCAAAGTACGGTCTTCAACACGGAGCCTTGGCTCACACGGAACAGCAAGCTATAAAGGGCTCCAAAAATAATTACTAGTGTAAAACCATTCAAACGGGAAAACCAACCGTCTAATCTATATAAAAAACGAGAAACGAGAAACACTTATGAACCACATAAACAAACGACAACTACTGAAATTGTAATCTAGCGTTCAACAGGAGTTTGAGGGATAGTTGAAAAACAATTTCTTTCAGAGGATAACTTATAACTTATTTGAATCCTTCAACACTTTAATTCCTGCTTTATTATAACAAAGCTAATTTCAATTTGGTTTTGTATATAAAAAAAAAACTAATACTTTAACGGAGAATTTAAAAAGAGATGAAGGTTTTGTAACGCAAATAGTTTTTTTAATATAAATTATGTAGATTTAAGTGCCTGGTAATTCAAGAAATTTGTAGATACATTTTGGTTAGAATGATAGCAAATTACAGAGTTAGCTCTTCTTAATATTAATTTTTTTGTGCATTTCAACCAAATTATATCTTGAATTACCATAACAGGAGAATGAGACGAATGTTAGTTTCGTGCACTATTATACATTTTGAACATAAACTGATGTAAACATGAGTGGGTTCATGTTTGTCATGTTTTCACCACTGCCTGATTCTTAGGCAGATTGGCACTTAAATCTACATAATTTATATTAAAAAAACTATTTGCGTGCCAAGGCTCCGTGTTGAAGACTGTACTTTGACCTATAATGGTCTACTTTTATAAATTTTGACTTGGATGGAAGGTTGTCTCATTGGCACTCATACCACATCTTCTCATATCTATGTAGAAACGAAAGACATACCATTTTTAACTCAGAATGAGGGTAACTTTAAATTAGGATGGTTAGGTTGGTGGGTTTTTTTGGGGCCATGTTTAGATTTTTTTTTCGAAATTGCCTGATTCTTACAAAGACTGGCACTTAAGTGTTCAAACTTAGATAGTGTACGGCCTTGAAAATTGAAGGACGCAATCTGATATGTCAATTTTTGGGACATCACGATGGTTATCTTGATGTTCCGCTCTAAATAAAGGGGGAGGCATATGATAATTTGAAAGTAAATATTCTTAAACTAAATGTTCATTATAAAGCAAAAGAATAAGACAAATGCATATGCATGCAGGATCGCCCTAAAAAGGGTTTTCCCATGCGGCGCAAAGGATCACAATAATAATGGGTTAAAAACCTTTTTATCCCTCCTTGTTACAACTTATATATTAGTATAGTATAGTATTAGTACTTAAATTAGTATAATAGTCTCAGGCCATAAAAAAAATTGCAGTAATTTTATAAATAAACGGTGTTTTATCTCTTCATTGTGTAATGATTACCGTTATTGACAAATGTTCTATAATTTAAACAAGATGATCAATTTAAAAATTGTCAATATGCAAGGCTGAACCGAAGATTTAAGGCGTATTCATAAAACGAATTTTATATCGCCGAGCGTAGCAAGGGAAACTTTTTTTACCAACTTTTGCTAAATAAAAAATAATATATTAATTGTGAAAAACATAATAGAATTATTATTTCTAGTCACCGACAAAGGGGGGCCTACTCCCTCTACTCCCCCTTGATCCGCCATATATAATGTAACTATATCGTAAACCATCACAAAATTGAATAAAGAAGAAAAACAGAGACATATCGCACATTAACTATAGAGGCTCTGTAATTAAATTAGTTAAAAAATTTCAACTAACTGATTTTTATAGTTTGTTTTTATGTTGTGCTGTTAAACCAGTTTTTATTTCTTTTGTTTTATTTTTTTTTGGGGGGGGGGGGTGTGCGCTAACACGTTCAACCCCGCCATTCTGTGTGTGCCAGGACCGAATCCTGGAGCTTGTAAATCGGTGGTTTTCTTTTGTTGCTGTATATCATATTTGTTTTTCGTTTTTTATTATGTACATAAATCAGGTCGTTAGTTTTCCCGTTTGTTTTTGTTTTTTACATTTTCATTTCGGGCCCTTTTTGAGTTTGCTATGTCGTATGGGCGTTTCTCATTGTTGGATGCCATACAGTAACCTATATTTGTTAACTTACACGTCATGTGGTCTCTGATGGAAAGTTATCTCATTGTCATATTTCACGGGCTAAATTGCCACTTAGGTTGTTCTAAAGAAGACGAAGATATATAATGTTGCAAATCAATTTTTATTTATAAAAAGAAATAATTCTTCCGTACCATGCTCTATGCTCATTATAACATAGGTAGGCATTATATTTGTTAATATTTTTAAACCAAGCGTTAACAAGGTATAAAACATTGACAAATATAATGCCTGCCCATTTTAAAATGACCATAGAGCATGGCGTAATAGAATTATTTCGATTCTAATAGGAAAGTTTAGAATTTGCGTACTTTGTAAGTTTGTCTCTCACTATCCGTCATTGAATGAATAAATGAGTAAATGTATTTTAAACATAGCGTATAGTATAGTAAAGCATACTATCTATATTGATATGGTTAGACAATCATTCCACATCTTCTTATTTTTACATCAACAAACAAACATCATAAGGAATTAATGTAAGTACATGTTATAAAGTATTTATTTCCATTTAAACTTAGTTCGAAGATAAGTTCAATAAGGTATACGTATAGCATTCGAAAAATGACTACTCCGTATTTCGAAAAGTTCCGTTTAAAATATATTTTAACAAGACATGTTTGTATTGTAATAACATCTTCATAAAAATATTAACATCTTTTTGACTCACATAATTATTTAATTTCTTCCGACGGGCAATGTTCAGATCCGTGTTAACGTAAATTCATAATTTTGTGGTTTCAAAACAAAACAAAACCGGGTCCTATACTGAGACAAAACCGGGTCCTTATGTAGTAAACAACATTGACCAAACAGGGTCCTTTCATATTGACATGACCCATTTCTTTCGTCCCATGCACAGAAATACAATATTGAGGTGCTTATAGCAATTAGTCATGCAACCTCTGTGTTAATATCTTTTTTTTCCGTTCTTTTCTTTCCGTACAATGTGCTCAATTTAAAAAGAAATTAAACAAATTCGCGGCAAGGTTCACTCGATTCACCATTTTGATGTGTTTTTACATATTTCTCCATTAATCTAAAGCGGTTGTAGAAAATATTACATCTCATAATCGAAAATATTCATATGTGTACTGAACCAGTACACAATTTTATGTAGAGGCCAGCTGAGGACCACCTCCGGTTGAGGAATTTTCTCACTGCGTTGAAGATCCATTGGTTAACTTCGGCTGTTATCTGCTCTTTGGTCTGATTGTTGTCTCTTTGACATATTCCCCATTTCCATTCTCAATTTTATATTCTTCAGTATCATAAAAAAAACAAATAAATAAGAGAAATTCTACCTTTTCTCTGTCTGTTGATTGCCCGTCACCGTACCGGACTAGATACTATTGAGATCAAACATTTTCTGCCGGGGTAGTTTAGACACAATGAACTAGTGAATCAATTGAAAAGAAACCATCATTGCAATACGTTGACGACTACTTCTTTGATAATGTTTGGACAAAGGAAAACTGCTGACGATGTATCTAATTTATGACAGGTTCCGTGATAAGTGGACCGCCGATAACTTTAGTTTAGTTATAAATGTCTTTCCGCCTTTTTTTCCGCCCGATTTTAAGGTTCGTTTTTGGATTTCCACATCACAGAGAAAGTGGTGTAAAATACGAACAGGTGTTGTTCTAGGATCATCTGACCCAAAGGGCTATCGTGAGCTATAGCAATCATCAAGCAATCATCAAGCGTCCGTCGTCGTTGTCTCCGTCAACTTACATAATATCTTTTCCTCTAGAACTGCTGGTCAGATGTTGCTAAATCATACCTCAATGTTCCTTATAAATTGTAAAATATCAAAAATACCAAACTCCAATGGAAATTCAAAACGGAAAGTCTTTTGTAAAATGAAAAATCAAAAGCTCAAACACATTTAACGAATGGAAAACAACAGTCATATTCCTGACTTGACACAGGCATTTCCTTATGTAGAAAATGGTGGATTAAACCTGGTTTTATAGCTAGCTAAACCTCTCATTAGTATGAAAGTCGCATAAAATTCCATTATAGTGACAACAATGTGTGAGCAAGACAATAGACATTATGGGTAAAATATAATCTTAATCACTATAAAACAAATAACTGTTTCAACAAAGAAACACAAAATGGAATATAGACAACGTATATAAGCAAAAAGAAAGACAAGAACTCAAAATAGATACAAAAGTATCAGCAAATATCATGCAAATTTACAAGTTGAGGTATAAAGGCTCGCAATAACCTGCAAGATATATGTAAAACTAAACAAATTGATTTAAATATCACAATCTAAAAGAAAACATAAGTCGTTAACAACTTTAAAAAGGAACAATTAAGAGGAAACGATATATCTTTAACATCCAATCGTTACATATTAAGTTGTCAACAAAAACACAGAAAGCAGGACAAATTTGTTTGCAAATCGTATGTTCTGAAATTCGCATAATCTATTAAAATAACTTTTCAAATGACGCAAGCTTAATATAAGTGGTTTTAAAAATGCCTATCACAAGCACTGGAATCAGACTTTAAATATAGCGTCAATTAAAAATTGTTCCAAAGACAAACATTTGGGACAATTCCCGTGATTGTAAATGGTAAACTTTAAATATATATTAAACAAGGTTTGTGAAACTTTATGTCAGCCTGTTTATGAAGCTGAAACTTAACTTTTCAAAAACAACATAACA